GTATATCCCATGGTTTTTGGAACTGCCGTTGACCCATACGGTCAGAACCATTCAGCCTAGGAGCCATCCAGGCAACTAGTTCCATTTTACACCAAATTCGGTCCTTGGTAAAAACCCATTGAATCAGTCAACAACTCGTTGACTCGGACAGTCAAACCATCAACCCATTCCACCTGTTCAACAGTTTTGGCTGTTTTTAATTTTAATTATTTTTGTTTAATTTTTAAATTTTGTCAAAGCGAGCTATCCATTCAAACCAGATGATCAAACCATTGACCCGAAAACCGGTGGCAAGAACAATTCCAATTCCAAGTCGTTTTTTAAAACATTGATATATCCAACCTAATTTGGAATTTTGTATTAGATCAATTTAGAAGAATTTCCTCATACAAACTAAAGAGATAGCAATGGGATCCCCCAAAAGCAAAAGCTCGACCTGTAAACACTTTGCAAGCATAGGCATCCAGCCATACATTAGGAACATCTCTATAATTTAAGATACAGTCCAATATGTGGCCAGGCATCGAGCCATACATTAGGAACATCTCTATAATTTAAGATATAGGAAATATTCCCAATATGTGGCCAGATTCGACATTCTCATAGATTTTTCTTTCAAGAGATCCATGCTCAAAGAAATGATCCAACATGAAAGAGTGGTCTACATCAAATTGAGAGGATAATTAACAGTGAAGAAAATAAGTGTTTTCCTCTGTCAAGTTGAAGCATATATTAAGGTTAGATAGGACTCCAATCTTACGACTTTTAAGCTGCATTTGGAAAAGATGCAAATATGTAGAGAACGGTTCACATAGATTGCAAAATTGGATTAGTTTTATACAGACAAATTTACCTTCTTACCAAACAGACTTTTAGCTGTAATGGATGCAAACATGAATTCCAATAAAGCATATGCTTTTTTTTATCAAAATTCCACTTGAGTGCAAATTTATTTCTTTTTTATTGATGTACTTTTATATCTTATTATCAATGTAAATATGCATTGATATATTATTTGTCAATGCATAAATGTAATGTTGCCAAACACAGTTATTCTGGCAAGTGCTTGAATCTTTTACTAAAGAATCAGTGGTGGAGATAGAACAAGGTGCATTGTGCATGTAAAGCCCACTGGTCATAATGAAGTGTCTATAGTAAGCAAAATTAAAAAATAAAAAATAAAAAACCAAAAGTTAGGCCCATATCCTTTGAAATCACATCTCCGCCCCCACAATACATGTTGGGAATGTGCTGTGGGGCAGCCTGGCCCCATGTGGGGCGGAGATGTGAACTCATATCCTTTCTACCTCACCCGAGAGCCAGATAGCTGGGACCAATATTAGGCACTAACTAGCCTCTTAATTAATTTTTATTTGGATCTGTCATGTTTTATGATCCATGTTCATGCTCTATCATAGATTATTGGAGGCTTTTGTTTTCGATCAATAAATGTCAGCCAATGCAGACCAATATATTTTGGCTTTAACGCTGGACAACACACTACAAGTGTACAATGCTGAAATTCTGAGTTCTTAAAGGTGATTCCGTCATTTCCTTAGTATTTATGTTTATTTATATTTATTCGTTGACATTTATAATTAATTATGTAAAAATCTTATCATGGGCTATAGAATTCCATTCAAATGACCTTTTTTTTTTTATTTGGAAACTTCTACGAAAACCTTAACGACTGCTCCACCCTAAAGCTACCATTTTTTTTCTCAAACAAATATCAATTAAGGTGCATTTAAAAGTATCTGTTATAGGTTAAATTAAGATATTTCACACGGTGTAATTACAATTAAGACTTTAATAATGTTGAATATGTCAGCTATGATGCATCATTTTATCACAAGTTTACGTTTTTTTTTTTTTAATTCATAGTGCAACTTATGATACAATTGTACTTGACAAGTCCTAGCAAATTTTAATAGTACATTTCTTTCACAATTAAAACTCGACATACTAAACAATTAAAAGGAATTACAAAAACGGGCTAAATTTGAAAAAGCAATTGGCAGTTGACAAATGATATATAGGGGAAGAGAGAGAGGGAGAAAGATAGATATAATTTTTTTAGTTTTTATATTGAAGCATGGCTCACTATTGAGCTCGAATATGAGCTTTGGATCGAGACAAATTTGAACTCATGTTTCTATCTCAAATTGAACTCAAGCGTCATGTTATTCTGCCAAGCCAACACAGACCACGGGCAGCAAGGGAGATTTTTTGTCTATTTTGTTAATTTATTATAAAATTTTCATTATTTTTTTTCAATTTTTTTTTTTAAAAAAAGAATATACCTCTCATGGCTTGACTCGTCCTAGCCTAAGGCACGGCCCATGATCCAGCCTAACACACATCACTGCCTGGGCCTATGCCATGGGCAATGCCAACCCAGACCTCTAAAGTATCCCTAAGGTAGCAAGCATGACTCGGCCCAACACGACCCAATTTACACCTTTACCCTGTAGTTTCATGGATTTATCGAAGCCTACCTTATAGTTTATGTTTTATTAAAACACCCCCTATAGTTATTTTGTTAACTTTTCATTTGATAACATTAGAAAATGACAATTTTGACCCTAATGTCTATTTTAATAAATTTAATCAAAATAAAAATAAAAATATTGTTTTTACCCTAATAATACATGAGCAACCACTCTATTTGGCCAATTCTATTTTTTTATACTAATTCTTTGAAAATTTGTCTTATCACGTCACACTAGAAAACACCACTTTCACTAAAAAAACAATATAGACATTGGACTGGATATTGACATTTATAATAGAAAAACTAAGGCTGTGTTTGGTTTGAGGAAAAAGTAGGGAAACGTAAGGAAACCATTACAAGCCTTGTATAGATTTCCCTCCCTTTCCCTACTTTTTCCTTCAACCCAAACATAGCCTAAATATGACATCTCCTGTAGAAACACCAATGGTACCAAATATTATATTGATAACTCAGAACATTTTGATAGAAAAATAAAATATTCTCATAACATTTTGTTATGAGAATATTATACTAATCAACTTAAAAACGTTGCAAGTAGAAATGAAAATGGTACCAAACACATCTTTAATTGCTATAATCGAGATTCTAAATAAGGAAAAACTGTTTTTGATGGCATATAAGCATCAGTGATTTCAGTAAATGTTAAACAGAGGCTGGTTTAGTCCACAGAAATGGTAAAGGGATCAGAGACGGAAAATGTGTTTTAATATATGAGATGATGCTTATGATTGCACTTTCTTCTTTTTTTTTTCTTTCCTAATTTTGTATGAAGGTTTTGCTCTAATAACAGTAAAATTTGATTTGTTCTTAGATGCAAATCGGTAGATGATACTGGGAGTTGCTTCAATAATTCTAAATTTCTATCCCAAGGTGTATTGGCTAAGCTACAAGGAGCATCCGCAAGCTAGAGTGCAGAGAGACAACAGGATCTAATTAGCAGGATCCAGTGATCATCACCATTGCACCCACCAAGGGTGTTTCTCATTTTCACATTTTACAAAGGCCATGAACCGCTTTAATTACCATTGCACCCACCAACGGAGTAGCCAATCCGTAAGTAGCCACGTTACCATGATGCATTTAACGGCGGTATTGAACTTCGGAGGAGCAGTATTGAAATTAGGAGGACCTTTGTTTCAGTTTGAGTATTTGTTAGAATAGCTAAGGTAACCTATACGTAAGTAATTTAGTTGCTGAGAATAAGGAGAGGACTCTCATTAGTTAGTTTTTTTTTTATATATTTCTCCTTCTTATTGGTATTGTAAATCCTATATATTCTCCTCCGAAATAATGAAATGGATCATCTTGAACTTTCCAAAAACCTTATATTGGAGGTCGGAATTCCTCGAACTAACCCATTTATCCTTTGGTAGACGGCAACATAGGGAAGAAGAAGAAGTTTTCCCCTTCCTCTATGGTGAAAACCGGCTTGCCTTCTACGGTGAGTAAACCTCTTATGAGATCACAGACCCTGGCACGTGACAAACTGGTATCAGAGCCAACTATGGATCCCAACTACGAGAGGTTTTTTCACAAATCAAAGGAGAAGTCAGGTCTTTGGTGGCTAGTCATGAGCAGTAAATGGAAAAGGTGAACCGGATGATAGAGAACTTTTCAGCTAAGTTCGACCGTTTGGAAGGGTCAAAAGGGAAGGAAACAGTGGAGGCATCAAGCTCACCCTTGAGGACGTTTGGCAATCGGGCAAGTGGTTCCAACAGCACGCTACGCTCAATGTCTAAAAGTCTAAAACTGGAGTTCCCACGCTATAACGGGAATGAAGATCTAGCAAGTTGGCTTTATAGAGCTGAGCAAATATTCGAGTGGCAAGGAGTTCCTGAGGAAGAAAAGGTGCTGACGGCATCAGTTCATCTTGAGGGAGATGCCCAACTATGGTTTCAGTTCCTGAAGTAGGATCATGGAAAGCTCTCATGAGAAGGCTTCAAATGCCAAGTCCATCAGCGCTACGGTCCCACGCTGTACCAAGATTTTTTCGGTGACCTCATCAAGCTCCGTTAAACTGGTACAGTGCGGGAATACCAAACACAGTTTGAAAAGTTATTCACACGGGTCGGTCATCTAACCCCGGCTCACCAAGTTAGCTGCTTCATAAGCGGATTGAAGGAGACCTTGCGGGCTGAGGTGGTAACAGCTCAACCAGCCAATCTCTCATTAGTTATAGGATTGGTTCGGTTGTACAAAGCAAGAAACTTGTCAATGCGTCCTGCTGTAACCATAGAAAATCGTCGACTAGAGGCAATGAAGGAGACAGGAGTCACCCCTTCTACACATCCAGACCCAATGAACTTTGGGAACAACGTGAGAAGGGTCTTTGCTACAATTGTAATGAAAAGTTCGCTCCTGGGCATCGGTGTAAGCGGCTCTTTGTGATTGAAGGATGTTGGGAGGAAGAGGATGGTGATGTACAGATGGAGATAGAAGACGACCCCAATGAAGCACCACTTCTGCAACCTGTTTACCAAGAATAATGAAAGTTGACGGGACATTGGATGAGGAAAGGATCGTGGCTCTCATTGATTCGGGCAATACACACAATTTTCTTAGTCCTCACCTCTCTGAACGGGTGGGGCTTTCCCCTAGTGGAAGAAGGCGGTTTGAAGTTTCAATTGCAAATGGACAGAAATTGGTATCTCTTGGGAAGTGTACAGGTATGACCTTAGTTTTGCAAGGTGAGCCTTTATTAATGGATTTTTATTTGCTTCCATTGGATGGGTATGAAGTGGTTTTAGGCACTCAATGGCTAGCCACGCTTAGTCCTATATGGTGGGATTTCAAAAGACTACAGATCAAGTTTTGTGTGGATGGAAGGGAAATCACATCCCTTCCATCAGGCCCATGGTAATCAAGATGAGGTAGCTATACGAAGAATGAAGTCAGGAGTGTTATTGCAGCTACATTCCTCACCACCCAGCCCACTTAGCTTGAAGTCGGATATCTCACCATCACTTAAGCAAGTATTACATAAATTCCAAGATGTGTTCACTGTTCAGTGAGCCTCATGGGCTTCCTCCAATTCGGGCCCATGATCACAAGATCATTCTTACATCAGGATTTGGGCCTGTTTGTGTGCGCCCATACCGATATCCCCACTATCAAAAGGCAGAAATTGAGAGCATTGTCGTAGAATTATTAGCATCTGGCATGATCCAACCTAGTTGCAGCCCATACTCTTCATTAGTGATCTTGGTCAACAAGCAAGTGTGTATATTATTGTGCACCCAACCAAATCACAATAAAAGATAAATTTCCTATTCCCATGATTGATGAGTTACTTGATGAAATTCATGGTGCTAGTTACTTTACTAAGTTAGATACTAAATTGGATTTGAAGTCTGGTTACAACCAAATCCGGGTGCATGCCTCTGATGTGGCCAAGTAGGACCCACCATGGGCATTACGAATTTCTCATAATGCCATTTGGGCTTACAAATGCCCCGCCAACCTTCCAAACTTTAATGAATGATGTATTTAAAAATTACTTAAGGAAGTTTGTGCTAGTATTTTTCGATGATATTAGTGTACAACACATCTTGGGAACTGCACTTGCAGCATTTGACCACTGTTCTCAGAACCCCTGCGGGAAGTGCCAGTTTGGACAAACTGAAGTTAAATACCTTGGCCACATCATTAGCCAGAAGGGGGTGGTTGTAGATCCAAAGAAGGTTGCGGCTATTGTGGAATGGGCTAGGCCCAACTCACTTAAATCCATGCGTGGGATTTTGGGTCTCACTGATTATTACCAGAAATTTGTATAGGGGTATGGAAAGATTGCAGCTCCTTTAACACACATGCTTAACAAGAATGCCTTTACATGGACCCCAAAGTCGGAAGCTGCATTTCAGGAAGTAGTGTTGGTGCGGTGTTAATGCAAAGACAACATCCAATCGCCTTCATCAATCAAGCGTTACAAGGGAAGAATCTATTGTTGTCCACCTACGAAAAGGAAGTCCTTACATTGGTGCTGGTGGTACAAAAGTGGCAACACTACTTGCTGGGACGAAAGTTCATTGTGCGGTCTGACTAACAGAGTATTAAATATTTATGGGAGCAGAAAATCACCATAGTGGCTCGACAGAGGTGGCTGCAAATTAATGGGGTTTGATTTCACAATAAAGTGCAAGAACGGAGTTGAAAATCGGGTAGCTGATGCACTACCAAGAAGATTTGAAGCTGATCCTGGAAATGGAGTTCAGGTGGGCCATCTCATGGCTTTATCCAAGCCCATACCTGATTGGAATGAAGCTATTAGAACAGAACATGAAAAGAGCCCTCAAATACAGCGTCTCATCCAACTTCAGGAGGTAGGTGAAGCTGTAGGCCCTTTGAGTTGTAAAGAAGGGGTGCTTTTCTTTAAAAGAAGTATCTACCTAGAAGAGAAATCCCCCCTAATAGCATATATCCTAGCCCAATTTCACAATTCTACACATGAAGGCTATGTGAAAACCATCCAAAGGTTGTTACAGTCCACATTCTATTGGAAGGGAATAAGGCAACAAACCAAGGCTTTCATACGAAGTTGTGACACGTGCCAGAGAGTCAAGGAGCAACATATTAGACGTGTTGTTCTTCTGTAGCCATTACCAATTCCAAGAGAAATATGGGCTGACATCTCTATCGACTTCATGGAGGGTTTAGCCAGCTGCCATGGGAAGACAGTGATTTATGTAGTAGTGGATCGACTTACAAAGTATGCAAACTTCATAGAGGTCGCCCATCCATATACAGCCCAAGGTATCGCCCAGATTTTCTTTGATAATATATTTAAATTGTATGGCATGCCTACCTCTATTACTTGTGATAGAGATGTTGCATTTGCTAGCCTATTTTGGCGTGAACTGTTTCAACTTCAAGGGACTAACTTCAACTTCAGCTCTACCTATCACCTTCAAACAGATGGACAAACTGAAACTACTAATAGAACCATTGAAATATACTTGACATGTTTTGTGGGTTCAAGGCCCAAAACTTGGTGCAAATGGCTAGCATGGGCTGAGTTCTGTTATAATACAAGTTGGCATTCTTAAATTAAGCGAACCCCATTCGAGGCCGTTTATGGAAAGGTTTACCCCCTACTCTTATTTCCTACATACCAGGAACGACCAAGAGTGAAGCGGTGGAAAGGGCCTTGATTGATAGAGACATGGCAGTGAAAGATATTGCGACTACATGAAGCCCAACAAAGAATGAAACGAATTTATGATAAAAGCCATAGGGAATTACAATTTCATGAAGGAGAATTGGTTAAACTCAAACTGCAACCTTATCGTCAGCTATCAGTGGCACTCAGGAGAAATATGAAGCTAGCACCCAAGTATTACGGCCAATTCACGATCCTACACCGAATTAGGCCTGTAGCTTATAAACTGAATCTGCTGCAGGGATCCAAAATCCATCCAATTTTTCATGTGTCCTTTCTCAAGCGACATGTGGGATCCACTACTCAAATACAACCTCTGTTACCCACATTGAATGACTCAGAGGAGCCTCTTCTCTAGCCACAGTTTATACTAGACACTCGTATGAGAAATGGACAACAAGAGTTGCTTATTCATTGGAAGAACAAATCCCCTACTGAAGCCACTTGGAAAAATGAATTTGTCATACATTACCAATTTCTAGATTTTGGCCCAGTGGACTTGGGCCTTGCAAACGGAGGGGGAGCTGTCACGAGCCCAACGGTGTAGCCAACCCGTAAGTTGCCACGTTAGCATGATGCATGCAACGACAGTATTGAACTTCGGAGGGCCAGTATTGAAATTAGGACCTTTGTTTTATTTTGAGTATTTGTTAGAATAGTTAACGTAACCTATACGTAAGTAATTTAGTTGCTGAGAATAAGGAGAGGACTCTCCATTAGTTAGTTTTTTTCGTATATTTCTCATTATTCGTATTGTAAGCTCTATATATTCTCCTCCCAAGTAATGAAATGGATCATCTTGAACTTTCCAAAAACCTTATATTGGAGGTAGACCGGTTCATGGGCCGGGTGGCCTGATGGCCCGGCCCGAATTCTAGACGGGCTTGAATAGGTTTTTTGGCCGTGGGTTTAACCTCGGGCTAAAAATCTCGGCTCGTATAAAATTCGAGCTGGGTTCGGGCTTTGCCAAAATAATCTGACCCGAGCCCGGTCCAGCCCGACCTATAGTTAAACTTAAGTAAACCCGGCCCGACCTATAGTTAAACCTAAGTAAAATCCCTATGTGATGTCCATTTGAATAATTTTTTTGATTTGAAAAGGTTATTGATTCATTTGTAGGCCCATTGTTCATTTAAATAGGAGAAAAAAACATCTGAATTAAAATAGATAATGTCTATTTGAATAGGGAAAATTTTGAATTTCTTTTATTAGGTCGGGCTTCGGGCTCGGGCTCGGGCTTCAGGCTTTTTATCAGGGCCGGGTTCGGACTCGGGCCTAATATTTTTCTGTTAATAAAGAGTCAAAACCCGGCCCGAACCCTGCCCAGCCCGGCCCATGAACAAGTCTAATTGGAGGTCGGGTTTCCTCAAACTAACCCATTTATCCTTTGATAGACGGCAACATAGAGAAGAAGAAAAGTTTTCCCCTTCGTCTATGGTGAAAACCGACTTGCCTTCTACGATGAGTAAACCTGTTACGAGATCACAGACCCTGTCTCATGACACAAAAAACTACATATATTACACTAAACATCCCCAAAACACTACAAGACTAATTCCTCGAATGTCTTGTTACAAGAATTGCCTTTGTACTATTGAACCTTAGATCGACCTAAAATCCCAGTTCTAGGTCAAGATCACCACTTTCCAGTTTTGATACAATAGCAATGTTCTCAACCACCATTGGAAACAAATCCAAACAAAGTGGTCTCAAACAATTGTCCACTGGGTAGCATCAACAGAATTTGGTTTTCCAGATTCCATGTGCAAATACTTCTCAGTATCAATATTCTCTTCTCCATGGGCACATCGCTTTTCCAGGTCCCAATCCTGATCATCTGATTTCTCAGTAATGCAAGGACAAATGAGTTTCGAACAAGAAAAAGCAAATTCAGACGAACAAATTATAGGTTCGGGATGCAAAGGAAAACAAATTAAGTCAGACCCATAGTTGTTGGGTGTGTTTGGAGGAGTAAGGCCCTGTTTGATGATTAAGTACTTGTTAAAACAAGTACTTCTTTAACAACCATTTAAGGCTGTTTGATAATCCGCTTTTCAAATCACTTATTTGAAGGGATGAGAGATCCATCGTATGGACGCCCAAATCTTGCGGAATAAGAGGGCGAATTTTAAAAACTTTTCTCTCCCTTCAACTGGGAATCGCATTCCCTATTTAGAAAATCATATTTTCAAAGATCAATCTTGAACCATAAACTGAACCAGATCTGAACCAAAAGGAGTAGGAGAGGATTATACCTGATATGGAGAAATAGTATCCCCCAACGAAAGTGTTCACGCTCAAGGAAGGATCCAAAGACTGCTCCCATTGAAGATGACGCAGTGTAGGATGGAGTAGAATCAGTAGTGTTCTTCTCCAAGAATTCTGTCATTTGCAGAAATGGCACATGAGCACTGCTACCTAGTTGGGTTTCCTTGTATGGTGTGGGACCCAAGCATTGATCTACACATCAGCCACATGGGTTCGACTTGGCCTTTGTTACAAGGCCTGGCCGAATACACTGTTATGGACAGTGCACCCCCTGAAACCCATCAAATGGGCTCTATGGGCCCAACACTTACCCTAAGTGATCCCTGGGCCAAACCACCTTGTAACACCTAGGGACTGTGGGCAGATGCAAGATTAGCCCATCAGGTATTATCCTCAATGGTCTTACACATAACCTCTCA